TAATATTCATTTACATGAAAGAATCGCAACAACACGATTTTGATCTTATTTCTATGTACAGGTGTCGCTTCAACCCGTAGAATATTATAATAAGTTGCCTTCGGAACCCAATGTTGAACGAGTTATAGTTTTAGAACCATTGATAGCTACAGGAGGAACTGCTGTTGCTGCAACCAGTATTCTTAAAGATTGGGGCATTAAAACAAAAATTAAATTTATTACTGTATGCGCATCACGTCAGGTAATTTATTAAAATAATTGTGCTAATTCATAATTTCTTGTTAAAATAATTCAATTTTTTTTTTTTACAGGGTCTTGAAAAGTTAATGCAACACCATCCAGACGTTGAAGTTTTTGTCGGAGCAATTGATGAGATTTTAGATGAGCATGGGTAATATTTAAATTCGAAATTTTATAATTCATGCTTGGAAATAAATATTAATATTCAATTATTTAAAAAAATTTTTTTTAAATAAAAATCAAAAGTTACGTTGTACCTGGTCTAGGTGAGTTATTAATTATTTTCTTTCATGATTATATAAAAGAGTATGTTCAAAAATTATATTTTGATTGACTATTCAATTGTCTTGTTGGAATTTGTAGGTGATGCCGGAGATAGATTATATGATACTCCACATGTGTGAACTATTTACATTAAGTTATAATTAAAACGATTGAGACTAGTTATAATGTATTATTGGCTTCTCATCGTCGCATGTATTTAATAACATTTGTAAGTATTTTTACATCGTTTTTCTTTAATATACATTTACTGAAACGTAGTTTTTACGATCTGTTCAAATATTTCATGTTCGATATTTATTATATTACATATATAACATAAGAAAGTTGTACAGTCAATTTTAATACTGGGTTTTATTCCGATAACATACTATTGTATATAGGGATGGGTTCGTTATAACGATGACAATCAGTTAAAATCAAATTGTGAAATGATTTTTTCTTGAGTTATTAGTTACTCAGAATTAAAACTTTATCATATTGCCTTGTAGGAGAAAAGTAAGATACCTTTTCTATAATTTAACAATTAAAGAATTTATTATCTGTTATAGATTAGTCACAACTGTCTGTAATCAGTGATAAATTTTAAAATT